GTGGTGAGCAATTGCATTGTGCATCACTTATTTTGTATATTCTTTTATCATTATTATTATTATTATTGTTTTCCCTTCCTTTTTTGTCCTATTAAACTGCCTTTATCTCAGCCCACAAATTTTACCCACTGGGTGGGGGGAGTGAGCAAACGGCTGTGTGGTGTTTAGCTGCCTGCCGGGTTAAACCACAACAGAGAGCAAGCTATGTCACAGCCCCCTAAAGAACCACCTCCACCTCCAGGGGTTTCTTTGCTGTTTCTCCCACTCAGTCAATATTTTACATCATTATGATTTTTCTCTGTTATGTGCTAGGACACGAACTTCCCCCCAGATTTTTGAATATGCAGCAGCAGAGCTTACCTGAGATAAAGATCTCCAGTCCATATTTGCACTACCAATATATATGTGTTTCATGTCTACAATCCAGAATTTGCTATGCAACACTCCTCCTGCCAAATGTCCAAAATCAATCTTTTTTACGTGAGCCCCTGAAGAAAGATGGGGAGGGGAAAAAGAGTTTAGATACAGCATGGAGATGGTAATCTAGTGCTCCCCTGACAGCCAGAACATGTCTGGATGTCTAATACCTGCAACTGGTAATAACTACCAAAATTCACAAGCACTCATTCCTGGGAATACAATAACTTGCAGTATACAAAATGTGACCTTTCAGAAAAATCCTTAAGGGCATGACAACATACACAGAAATCATGAACTAGTGAATACATAGTGCCTGTCCTGTGAACCCATGTAAGCACCATGCCAGAATAGGCCTGGGAGACCAGTTTCTCTCAGATCCCTTTTTGCATTACTGAAGTTCTGAGGGCATCACTGAAGTGAGATAATTACCTTTTTCCTCTAAAAGCTCAAGGTCAGTTGAATTTGTAGCCAAAGTTGGCATACTTGCTGCAACGTACACAGAGACATTCTCTGCGAGTAATCTCTCAAACCTCTTCAGAATATCTTCACCCTGCACAGTACATTGTTATTTTTTTTATTTTGTTATAGAACATTTAGCAAAATACATGCAAGTACAGTGTTACTAATGGATGCTTCCTTTGAAGAACGCCAACACAAGGAAGGTCAGAAATTTCACCTATTTCAGGAGTGTTTCAACCAGAGAAAAAAGGGAACAAAGATTCTGATCCAATGTATGACTCAAAGTTTATTTTCTACCATTTAATACTATTAGATATAAGGTTTAAAAGTACAATCGCAAACATCCTAGACCTGAAAGGTGAACGCCCCAATGAAGATCAGCTGTTGGATGCTGAAGCTTAACAGATACGCTGTGTCATTTCTCCCTGAGGATAAAAGTAACAGAGACCGTCCTAAACTGAGCTGTCCCTTTAGCAGGGCTCAGCCTTACATCTGTCACTTTTACTTCTTCTCATGTGGAGGAAATGAGTCAGCTTATGGCACCAGACCCATCTGGTGAGGAAGACAAGGAGAGCAGTTCCAGAGAGTGAGGACAGTGAGAAAGGTGTGCCAGGAGGGAGGCAGAGGCTCTGCCCACAGTAATAAACAGGCCAGTATCTGGTCTTTCAGCAAACAACACGATTCCTGACACGTGACTAAACTCCATACCTGCCTGAAATAGAGTGGCCTTGTCCCTTCTGCTTTTCAGAACAGTCCCCAGCCCATACTGTCCCCCAGACTCTGCTCAGGATTGCCTGGGAAGTTGCCAGCTGCCACAGGCCAAAAGAGAGCCAAGGGACAATTAAACATGATGGATGGTCGCAAGGTGAGCCTGTGCCGTGGCCTCTGTCATTTACTTTTGGTGGTGGAGCCAGAGTGGCCCCGCAGGAAGCCTGGCTGCACAGGGTGCCCATGAGGACAGCCCTGCAAAGGAGAGCAAACGTCCTAAGCTGCTGTCCAACGGCATGGTTCAGGGACACCTGCAAAACGGGCGAATGCAGATGCTGTGTCTGTACACAGGGGAGAAGCAGACTCTGACGCAGTCAGAAGTCCAGCAGACTTTGCTTCCTGACTCTTCCAGCTATCCAGTGGGAATTGGCATGTTCACTTGTGTAGATCCTGTAGGCTCTTCAGCCATGCCACTGGCTGCCCCTACCACAGGTTGACCATCTGCAGGGTAAGCGAGTGTGGGTTTGAGACTGACCTCTGTGTTGCTCTTAAAACACAGCATAGAAATATTCAGAGACATGCCCAGATGGAGTCTATCTTGACTGGAGGAGGAAAGTTAGTGTGCTGCTTCAGACCAGCACAGAAAACCTTTCTGGGTTTGCAGGAAGAGTCAAGCAGTGTCTCTGGGAGACAGACCACACAGACAATCTGCCATCTGCCACATCTACGAGACATACAGCCATGGATGTGCTTGTCATTGATTTTCTCCTACCTGCTTAGAAGATGAATCATTGACGTTGATATCCTTCCCAGTAAGAGACCAATAGTAAGAAGCCACATGAATTTCTTCCTGGGCTATATCAAGGAGTCTCATCCAGGCTTGGTACAAGGGTTTGGCTGCAGTGCTATTTATCTCAAAAGCTAAGTCATAAGGAACATTTTCCACAAGTTCAAAGCTGCAATGGCAATTGTACATCGTGAAGCAAGTGACTGTGACCCAAGCAGGAAAACAAGCACCCGTCATGCCGTACAGTTGGCCATTTTGAATGTCAACCTCAAAAGCAAACAAGATGAACTGGACAAACAAGCTGGGAGTACTCTCCTCAGTAGCCGTTCTGAGCTTTGAATTTTACCATCCTAAGGACGAGGAGAAAAATAACCTCCTGGGGCTGGGTGTCACTTTGGTACCCTCTCCACCCTCTGCCCGGACAAACACCCACTGCCCCCTTCCAGCCTCTGAAAGAGGGTGGGCTCAGCAGAGGCTGCTTTGCCCGCTGGTTGCTCTACTGCCTGCCACCACTGCCACAAAGGGAGGATGGCTGGAGGTGGTGGAGCAGCTACAGAGCTATGCTGAACATACAAGCACAGGACCAGTAGTGGAGCTGCGATGCTGCCCCTACCGCTCCTCATAACGGGCAACTACGAATGACCCAATGCCTAAACAACACCCCCACTTTTCCCAAATTAGCGGTACTTTATCACTTCTTATACAATGGGAAGAGAACAAAAGCCATGTTGATATTGTCAGCATTGTAACTATTTCTCCACCTGGTGATTAGTTCTCCGTGTGCCATTGGCCATGGCTTACCTGCAGGAATCATTGGACTTATTGGTGTCCTCCTCAATTACTGTGGTTCCTGGGAGATCTCCGTAGATTCCTTCTTCCTCCTCCACCTCTTCGTAAATGTTGACAACTGCTTTTTCTCCCTTAGGATCAACTATGCTGTCCACTCTCATGAAGTAAACAGCCATCAGGACAAGACCAAGTATCAAAATTGCCCCTAAGATTTGAAACTAGAACAGAATGCAAATAGGAGAAGATTTAAGTGATCACCAAGTCACTGATACACCAGCTAATGGATGACTACCTGTTGCAGGTGAGTAAACCACAATCATTGAATAGTAGTTCTGCTTTCAGCTACTGGCAGACAGTATTCTTAGATACACCACTGAAAGCGGGGACCACAAGCTACCTAGGGGTTGGTTTATGTGAGGACCGTGATTTTAGTTTTGGTTTAATTTTTCCTGTGCCAACATATCAAAACCTGTTTTTTTCCCAAACCTTATGATTAGTTTGACGTTGATTAGCTTTATTTTAGCACAAGACAAATGGGTTTTCAACAAAATTTCTACCAAAATCAAAACAAGAAAATCCATAACACAAGATTAGCTGTGGGATCAAGCCCAGCACTACCATAAAGAGGAAGTTCATGAAGTCAGGGGAGAAAAAGCAGGTCTGAAGATGTCAGAAACAGAAGGACATTTTGTGGTTTCTGAACATGTTCTGGTTTTGTCTTCTAACTTAAACCTCACTTAAGTGAAACTACACAAATCTCATTTATCCATGTGGCGAGTGAATGTATTTCCTTGTTGTTCTAGTGTGGTCAGTTAGCTTCATTTACCTTTTTCTGTATTTCCTTTTTTTTCCTGAACGTAGATGGGAAAAAAAAAAAAAAAGCCTGGCCACCTGGTATATCCAGATCTGGAGTCCAGCCACTCACATGCTGAAACATATAGCACCAGGCTCTATATGTTGCCCTATATTGAGGAGGAAAAGACATCCACTAGTGCAGATCCATTTCCCCCCAACAATTATCATGTCTGGCTCCCGATGGCAATTCTTGGGAGCTGGGACCATCCACCATGCTGTGATAGGCAATGTGCACTTCAGAGTTGAGCTTTTGAACCTCCAGGCAGGAGAACCGAGTCTGGGAGTGGTCATGAGGCTGTAGCTATAAATGTGAGCTCCTGAAAGGGTACATATGAGACTTGCACAGAAACCAGTTGCCTCTGAAAGTATCTATTTCAGTTCCTATGCGGATAAAGTTTCTTACTTTTCATTTTCTCTGCTTTTATCAAGATCTACAGTGCTGCCATCAATTTCAGGCAGTGATTTGAATGAGAAAAACATTTTTAAACTGACTATCTACTTAAATTTTTGCCCTCTGGCTTGTTCTCCCTCTCGTTGAGGGCAAAAAAATCCCACCAATTTTTAACAGTTCTGCATTTCACCCCATGAACATGTTGGCAAGACTTAAACATCGCACAGGTTTTAGAAGACATTTCTAAGGTAAGAGATCTATTTTGAAGTCACATCTTGGCTGTCACCATGCTATACACTGTGATGTCCAGGTGCTCTAGGCATGCTGAATAAATAAATAAATGCTGTGCTAATGGTGGAAGTGAGGCTATTTGTATGAGCAAGGTTTACTGTCCTGAGCCAGGGCTGCAGGATTAGGCTCCACATTACCCCCTCTCGGCAAGGTTTGACCAGCCTACTGGATAAATCAATGAGGGTTTTGTCACTCACTTGTTTACAAATAGGATCGAAACCTACACAGATTTCTAAAATGGACAATAAAATCATTCTTAATCTGTTATTACTTTTCAGAAATGTCAGTGTAATCTCAGCTCTTGTAAGCAAATGTAGTGTATCCCAATAATTACCATTTTGACGTCTTTTTGATTGTTCACGCTTAATTTCATGTTGGAGGACTCATTAAACATCAGGGATGTTTTTAATGCTTTTTTCACAGTCTGAAAAACAGAAAAGTATGCAAGGGGAAAGAACAAGCTTTATGGCAACGTTTGTATAAAGCCAGTTACAGACTAAAAATGCAGGTTACTGCCGTTGCTTTATATAGTGCTCTGAGATTTAAGTATGGATCTGTGCAACATCTTCACTGTATTATGGGTCTTGAGTGACATTAACAGATTCCAGAGTGAGAGGGAGAGACAGGTCCCTGCAGTTTTTCCCTGGTGGACTCTACACACAAAAATCATTGCAGTAATGTGTAAACAACTGCATCGCTGCCTCTTCAAGTCATCCTTCAACACCCACTTTTGTCCTGTTGCAAGCTAACACATTTGCCAACAAGCAATAATTAAGCACAGGAGCTGCGGGTGATAGTGTACAGCATCAGTGTCATCCTGTGTGTGACTCTATTAGGCTCCTGCTCTCTTCCTATGCCTGTGAGTTGTCTTCAATGCCCATGTCTCTTCCAGAAGGGATGCCGTTAAGGGGACAGGGACCAGGCCAAAATATAAACTCCTCTTCCCCCCCCCCGTTGCAACCATGGCCCTAGAAAATAAGTTAAATTCTTTCCCTCCCCAGACAGTATTGCTCCACTCTTGTGTTATCACCAGTAGAGGCAACCGCAAGAGCAAATACCAAAATATGCCAAAACTCAAAGCAGATGGTAGGGCAGGGGTAGTTGGCCACCAAAATATAAACTCCCCTTCCCCCCCCCCCGTTGCAACCATGGCCCTAGAAAATAAGTTAAATTCTTTCCCTCCCCAGACAGTATTGCTCCACTCTTGTGTTATCACCAGTAGAGGCAACCGCAAGAGCAAATACCAAAATATGCCAAAACTCAAAGCAGATGGTAGGGCAGGGGTAGTTGGCCACTTGCCTATTTTGCCTTCTTGAAAGTTCAAACCAAAAACTTCATACAAGCCTAACAGGTCATGAATCACCCCTGCACTGGCAGAGGTGAATTTACCCCACAGGAATCAGCTGTCATTTTTCATGCTCAGAAGCAAGAAGCACATCCTGGGGTATGGTAGATTTCAAAAAGTGCTACCAGATGATATCGCCACCTGTCCAGTCCCCAAACTGCTGCTTCCTATCCCTGAGCCACCCCGCATTTGTAGCCTGGAGGCTGAACATGCTGTAATGGTATCAGATATGTAGTTGCTCTGTGGGTGGCCACACTCGAACAAGTTTTAGGTAGGAAGGATCCTGCCAGGCTTGTCCCATCCATCTTGCCATATGTTCACAGCTATTGTCACCTGAACTGGATGGGCTCATTGTGTCTGCCCTCCCACACCAGTAAGGCAGCATGGCCACACACGTCCATACTGTGTCCTACTCCTGCCCACTCCACCTTTCTGTATGGATGCTGTGACCGCATGGAACAGGCAGGAGTTGGACACAGCACGGACATAGCCCCAAAGGCTTCTTGTGGGACCCAACTCACAAGAACTAGTGGGGCTGAACCGAAGAGGTGGAGGATGTCTTGAGAGACAAGGGAGATGGGTCTGAAACAGTGACTTGGGGAATGCGGGGGAGGGATGTGAAAAGAGAGGACCCAGGGTAAAAGAGCAGACAAGGGAGAATGAGAAAGGTGGAGAGGGAAGAACATGTATGAACAGTCATGCTTAAAAGCATGCTAGAGCTCCAGAGATGAAAGTTAAGTTTCCATTTCAGGGTCTGCTCGTTGTTATTATCAGCTGTAATCACTACAGCAGTGCCTACTTTCCAAGGCAGTTTTACTCAAGAGTTTTCACTGGCGCTTCCTTTTGCTGCCCCCAGATTCAGACGCAAGCTTTTACACTAGAAATAGTTACAAATGCTGGCAGGTAAACACCCATTCTCCCAGCCCTGGAGAAACTGAGCTGCTGCCAGCAGTGAAGGACAGTTGGCCATTCCCTGGTGAATGTCAGGTCCCCGTGCCCCTGAAATCCCAGTTCATGGTTTAAGCACAGTACAAAGACGCAGTGTCTTACCCCAAAGAGCTTACAGCCCAAGCAGAGAGGGGGGATACAACACACCACACAGAGAAAGCTGTGTGACAGCAACACGCATCATTCCCCCACCTTGAGAGAAAGCTGTCAAATACCAACCCAGAAGACTTAGTGGGAAGAAAAGGAAGAGAGAGCAAGAGAGAAGATGCTAAGGAGTTTGGTAGGAAACTGAGGCAAAGGGATTTTAAAGGAGGAGGAGAAAGGCAGCTGAAAAACAACAGCAGCAGCCCTTCAGCCTAGGCCAGGAGAGCCCAGTGCGGTTGCAGGTCATGCTCCACAGCTAGCTGCTTTGGCAGCAGCTGTCCCAACCAGCTGGGCTATCCAGTAACAAACAGCCCCCCACGGCTGCCCTGGGTGGTTCTCATCACAGAACCAGAGCCTGAGAGGTGTCATCTCGTCCCTCTGGCCCCCAAAGCTAAAGTGCTCCCCATGATACATTCGGTGACCCAGGCAGTGTCTTGGTAAGGAACTGCAGCTGTAGGTACACTTACAGCCGTGTGATGGCTTCAGAAGGACGGAATTTATGAGAAACAACTTCTTTCAGTTCTCTTTTTCAGCAACGGTTACAAAATGGCTTCAAAAAGCAGCATTTCTCTTAAAATATGATCGTGAACAGATCTCTCATGCCATAATAGAGTTATCTACCATTTGGTTCAACCGAAGTCCTTCTTGATACCTTTGACTGGTGATGAGTTAGATTCCCAGCTGCTACACAGAAGTCATGAGAACTGCACTAAAACATGCAGTTTAATTTTCAAGAAAGAAAACATCACAGACTCAACCAGAATTCTTAAGAATAATACTGTAGCTGGTCAGTAATTAACTATGGCTCCCTCGAAGCTTACAGGCCTTTACCAGCTGCCAATTTCAATGACTAAAGTTCATCCAAGAGCAGTAAGTACAAGCGCTACTCAGCATTGCTTCACAGGCTGGAACACAAGCTAATACCACAATCTGCTGAGTACACATGGGAGACTGTTGTTTATAACATTAAGGTTGCTTTCTCCCTGCCCCAAAAATAACTTTTGGTACTTCTTTTCTCCATCAGCACCAAACTCTTTCAGATTTTGGATTTCAAACAAAAGGATGAGATTTTTCGCTATACAAAATCCTCCCTGGAAGCTGTTTGAAGCTCCTCAGATGAACAAAGTGCATTCATCTCTCCATGACCACCCCACAGCACTCTCAAGATGATGGCAAGTGTACTTACCATCCTGGAAGACCTCCTCCTGTGTGGATATCCTACCGCAGCCTGATGTTACTCCCAACTCTGCTTACAAGAGGCAGCGTACATGCTTTTCGCCAGCAGATTTGTTTCGGGTTCTTCTGGTTTTTTTCTCCTCCTGCTGCAGATTACTTCCTCTTAAACACTGAGTTTCACAACACGCACTGACAGTTAGAGTCCCAAGTTCTTAGACTCCAGGTCCTGATCTTTACCTGTTTGGCATAACTTTCTGCAGTGCCTGACCTGGTTCGAACTCTGTTGAACGGCTAAGTTCCCACTGCCCTCAGTAGTGTAAGATCAGAGCCCACATCAGCACTAGAAGACACTGGTTAAAAGGACTGCTCAGCTTCGGTGCAGTTTGCATCCCAGACATGGCGGTATCCTCACTGCTTCATCCTTAACTCACCAGAAGCTTCATTTTAAACAGACAAACAGACCCTCCAAAACCACCTCTCTACCCAGTTCCTTTTGCAAGCACTTTCCTGCCCAATCATCCTTGGACAAACATAAGGGAGCAAACTAGCTCCTTTGAAATAATACAGCTTTCATCTTAAACAAATGGTATTTGGAATTTGCAGTGACACTGTTGAGGGAGAAGGTTACATGCAATGTTGAGTTTAGGCAGCTTCTAAGAAATGATGTCTTCTGTAAAAATCCAAAGGCTGCACCTCAGTCGACACGACTCAATACGGCAATGCTGCTGTTATTCTCTAGGCAGTCCCTCCATCCTGTTGAACCGAAGGATGCAGTCCCCTAGTTCAGTACCTGAGGAAGGCTGCTGTAGGGGGGAAACAAGTGAGAACTAACAAGGATCATGAGGCTCTATCATACCTTGTATTAAGCTGCTGAAGGTGGAAAAGCTCTCTTGTGTCCAGAGAAGGGCAACGAGGCTGGTGAGGGGTCTGGAGAACAAGTCTTATGAGGAGCGGCTGAGGGACCTGGGGTTGTTTAGCCTGGAGAAAAGGAGCTGAGGGGAGACCTCATCGCTCTCTACAACTACCTGAAAGGAGGTTGTAGCGAGGTGGGGGTCGGT